TCCACACCATCTGGATGATTGGCGGTCCACCACTGTGCGATTTAGAAGATGTTTTCTTCCTCGCACGACCTCCTTGTGAAATCGATTACCATCAGCGATTTTCCGGACCGATACGACTTAGGGACCTTCAAGAAAAGAGCGTACTCCTTTTTAAAAGGCCGGCAACGCATCTGCGATTCCCCTGGTGTTGCAGTTGTTCATGGGCGGCAGTAGTCACTTACCATCAGGTGAGCCGCATGCTCGTTTGCCCCCTATCCTATAAAAAAAAATAAGGGATGCAACAAGGCTCCACGTGTGGCCCTGATCTTTGTAATATTATACTGGACGAGCTTCTCGATACAAGTCTTCCAGCGGGTTGCCACATACAGGCCTTCGACGTCCTGCTGGTTGTCACGGCTGCGAGTGTCGGTGAGCTGGAGAGTGCTACCAACTTTAGCTCTCCACCAAATAGTCGAATGGAGAAGAAACGTTAAGTTGACGTTTGGCCCCATCAAGACTAAGCTCATTGCCTTCACTCCTAAGGCCGAGACAGCCTGCATTGTCATCGACGGACACCAACTTTCCTTTGTTCCAGAGGTGAAAATTTTGGGAGTTATTTTAGATAATAAATTAAATTTCGGAAGACATGTGAAACATGTGATCAGTAAGGCCGAGCGGATCTTCAATACGCTTTGCATGTACTCGAGCCCCACTTGGGGCGCTCATCCTGAATACATCAGTACCATATACCAGCAGGTGATTGTACCAACGATCACCTACGCTGCGGGAATTATGGGACACGTCACCCAGAAAAGGTGCATTAGGAGGGCATTCGAGAGCGTGCAATGCACGGTTTCCACATCAGCGGCACTTGCGTTGGCCTAATTTACACCTCTGGACCTAAAAGTTCGGGAAGTTTGCGCTGTGGAAAGAGCTCGGCTTCTGGGAACTTCTGACTACATTCCCAGTGACATCTCATTAGAGAAACCCACTCCCGTCTACGAATTGCTTCATCCCACCCAACGTATCTCCTTAATGACCAGGACATTTACTAATCATACAGCGACTGAATCTGCACCTGGACAACAGACCACCCACCACATTTACACGGACGGAAGTAAGCAGGACAACGGTGCGGTGGGCGCTGCCTTCGTGTGTTATCATCCTACTGATCTTAATCAAGTATCCTACAGTAAGAAATTTAAATTATACAATACGTGTACAGTATTCCAGGCGGAGCTGTTTTCCATTTTGCAAGCATGCAGGTGGATCAAAGAACACAAACACGCACACACAATCATATACACTGACTCACTCTCATCCATACACGCCATACAAAATAGAAGCAACACACACCCTATTATCACACACATACACCAAACTATACATGAACTCAGTAAAACAGGTACCATAGAATTGGGATGGTTCAAGAGCCATTCAGGCATAGCTGGCAACGAGGCGGCGGATAAGGCTGCGAACGCCGGCTCTAAGCTGCAAAAACGGCCTGACTACTCGGTCTTTCCCATCACATACCACAAACACACCATAAGAACACATAACCGTGCAACCTGGCAAGCTAGGTATTATAGCCCAGAACAGGACCAACACACAAAACGGCTGCTTCCAACACTGGATGACGTCGAAAGGCTACGCAATCTTATTAAACCCAGTTTTTATCTAAGTCAGGTGCTCACCAACCACGGTTTTCATAACGAATACCTCTGCCGTTTTAAAATAACCGACAATAATTATTGGCCATATAATAATGCCACCCCACAGACGCTGGAGCAACTTATAGAGCATTGGTTTTACTTTATTTTCTTAATTTCATTGTGATTATATTATTTTATTATACCATTGTTATTATAAAATAGATTATGTTTAAAATTAAGATTATCCCGTGTGTTTATTTCCTTTTACTGTCTTTATATTACTTTGTCTGTCTTTAGAGATAAGATTATTTTACTTTTTTATATTATTCAATCATTTTATTATTTACTTGTCACTATACAAATTCATTACGTTATTATCATTATATTATAGATTGTGATTATAGTTAAGATTACTTTTTATCATTAGTTTCTAAAATTCATTTCATTCTTATCTTTTTATTGTCATTTCCTTTCTTTTCCTAACGTGGTGTGTGGCATGCACCAGAGACAAAATGTTAATGTTAATCAAACGACTATTTATTAGAATAATAACTATGTATAATACGCTAAGAATTCTTAACAAATTATATTAATTTAAGGAGAAGGCAAAGGTATACGTTGTATGTTGTATAACGTGACCATTTATTATTTTTGTCAAAGCGGGACGTCTCTTGCGGAACTATAAATAAAAATTTTTAGTGGTTTACAAGTTTTTTTTATTATAGAAGCTAATAACAATAATAAAAAGTAATCAAAACACTTACTACAAAATAATTAAGTAGTATGCATGAGTTACTAAGCCCTAGTAGTGGCGTGACTTCTACATAGTATTTTTGTATTTGTCGGCTGAACAAATTAGTTTTAAAATATTGGCCCTTTTTTAGGTACATAGCTCACTACAGGATTTATTTATATTTATTTTGGTAATTAAAATGGCTTTCACGACTGCGACACTTAACTGAGTTTTATCACTGGTCCATATTTTGTTCATTTGAGAAATAACTCCTTCGACCGGCGCATTACTTCCTGGCAGACACATAATGTACTCCATAATTGTACAAAAGTTCGTTAAGTGAAGATAGTTGGCACCGAAGTGCTGAAAGAATTCAACCCAACGGTTTTCAGCAGCAATATTCTCATCATTCCAGCTAGTGATCTTTTCATCTGGCGCTAAGTTGTAAATAAGCGAAAACTCGTCAAAGACGACTCGTATCTTAGCTGCCGCTAATAAACCCTTGCGTGATTAGCAAATCTATTACTTTTTGTACCTCATCCCAAGTAGGTACTTTTGTTAAATTTACCCGTTGAAACAATTGTAGTTCTATTTTTTTTTATAGGATAATATCTATGTTGAGTTGACACCACTGCTCCAAGTATTCTTTGCTTGTCCTATAAAACTCAGCCGCTGCATTTTAACATTCAGCTGGTCAACAGCAATTTCAGTTCCTTGTAATTTTTTAAGTAGGTTACGGACGTTGTGAGGAAGGAAAATCGTGCTCTCTTTGAGTGCCAGGTTATCTCTGAGACGATTAATTTCCTCTGCAGACTCTATTGCAGACACGTATTTCCCCTCAATTTTTAACATAGCTTCATGAAATGTCGCTGCTTGTGCGTGCAAAAAATGTAACCACAACTCTGATCTGGGCATTTCGAAAAAAATTTTAAAATATTTGTGAATTTGGTAATACTTAGAAAATAGTTTTTTAAAGGCTGAAACATTTTTAAAACTCTCTCTGGGCTGGGCTACAGTAAAACAAGCCACCTTGATTTACTGTAGCCCAGCAGTTTGTGATACTCTGTGTCAGTTAAATCATAAAACTCTCATAGATTCGACTCAAACGCTGTAGATGTAGAAGAATGAGGTTAATTCTGTTTACGCAAGCGGGACTATTTTGCCTTCGCTGGGGACAGCATGACAGACAGCCTGAAAGCGGAACTGTCCCGCCCAAAGCGGGACGTATGGTCACATTAAACATATATTCATCTGGAATAATGAACATTTCAAATAGTGAAAGATTTTTTTCAAATACGTGCAGCGGTTCCGGAGATTACCTTCGACATATACACAAACTCACGAAATTCTCTCTCTCTTTATAATATTAGGCCGACCAGTGTCAATGTTATGGAGACTAGCCTTCCACGCAGAGCAGGATAATAAAAAAACACGAGTGTGTGCTCAAGCACATGTGTACTCTCTATTCCCTCACTCTCATAGTCTGAGGTATTTCTTTTTCTTTTTAAAAAACGTTACCCCCACACTAGGATTTTCTCCTGTGTCGTGGAGGCAGTTTACAAACATAAATTGCACGAGGACAAACATCAAGACCCGGAACAATTATTTGTAGGCCATACAAATACTTTTTCCGTGCGGGATTCGAACCCGCGGCCCCCAGCGCAACAACTCATTGCTAAGCCACTGCGCCACGTAGCCGTCAAAAGGTGACGGCACTCTGACACAGGACTAACACGGAAATATCGGTAGGACTAACGGTTTTACGTGCTTTTCGATGCCCGCTACTGAGAATATCTTGACAGATAAAATCCAGTAACTGATTTTGCCCCGATTCTTTTTTTGAAACGGGGGCCACATAATCAACAGTCGTTCACACGACCACTAAACCAACAAGACAGTAAATATAAAATATATGATATACTAGCGACCCGCCCTGGCTTCGTCTGGGTAGAATCTATTAAAACGTTTCCCTGACCAAATAACCTTGAGCATGCAGTGCACTGCCGCCCGCACTCTGCGTACGCCCTTATCATAGAATTCACACAATTTTTAGAATTAATTTTAATTAAAAAAGAAAAGCGAACTTTAAAAAATAAATAAAACGTGAATACATTTTTTTAATATTTTATAGATTTTTAAATTATCTATCCATTAGTAAAATTCTCAAATGATTAGAGCGTTGCCTTTAGCAACAGATGCATGTAATCAATAATTTTAGACATTTTTAAAAGTAGATTTTAAATGTATTTATAACACATAAAAACAAATTAGAACGTGGAATGTGATGATAGAATATCGAACATTAATATTTTTTTTTACCTGGCTGTACTTTGTACGAGAGTGCGAGTTGACGACAGAAATATTAGGTAAATTCGAAAGCTTGCGCATTGCCGTAGGAATCCGATTTATTCAATGGTGGCGTTCGTTGAGTCATCAAGTAGGTACATTTTAAACTAATATCATCTATTAAATCATAATTAAATGATGTGAAATAATGTTCTATAATGATATAAGTAATTATATCTAAAACGCATTAAACAAAAGTATTACATAAAGAACGTAATAAATATATAAAAACATATATTAACCTTACTATCTAAATCTAAAGTACAAAAGTTAACCCATTTCATCGATAGATGGTGGTGTTGCACAAATGTAATACAAAAATGCAGGTTCTTATTTTTTTCCTGTAGATAAGTTTTCATATTTGCTGTTAATCTTTATATTAATCGCTGCCCTATTGTGTGTTGACAATCTCATTTATTCTTTACCGCCGAGTACTCTACGTGGTAAATCAAATTTTAAAAGAGCTATTAACAATTTCGTTGGTTTCGGCGAGGATCAAACTTTCTTTTTTGCTTACTATGCAGGCCTGATTTATAAGTTCTTTTATGTTTTTTTATTATATCAATCGCGTCAATTAATTTATTTTTTAGAATTGATTTTAACAGCGCCATCTATCTTTAAATCTCTATACATGCGGTGATAACATGCTGTATCTGTTTCTGTACATTGTATAGTATATTAATTTGTGACTAAAATCATTATGGAGACTGAAATTCATTAAATAAGTACATTTTTATAATTTTTAGAATTGTCTGTTTGTCTGTCTGTTTCTCTGTTTGTTTATGAACGCATCACGTCTTAAGTAAACATCTTTTTTTCAAAGAAATCGTTAAGAAAATCATAAAGCGTATCTTCCAGTTCATTTAATCTTTGTTTTATTAAAATTGGTTAATTCTATCGAAAGTTATGATTATTATTTTGAAATGTAGGTTCAATTTGTTTAAAGGCGCCATAAAAATCTCAGAAATAGTAATAAAATGATTCGTGTTTAAAAAAAAACACAGTAAAAAAAATATGTTTTCCTTAAATTAAAAAAAAGGATGTTTTCTCACAAAGAACGTAATAGATGGCGTTGTACAAATTACAACTTTTTCTGAATTGCGGTGTTTATATTTTTCACCGGTGAATCGTATTGAGACTCACTGAAGTAATTTACCTGCGCCCTCTTTTCCCAAAAGAGGGTCGCTTTACGATACGGCATGTGAAGCTTTCAACAGCTAGTTGCCAGTCCCCAAAGGCGGTTTTTAGTGGGTATGACTTAGGTCCCCCCGGTAGGCTGTGAGTCCCACATAACCACGATGGATAGCCATCGTGGTATGCGTAATGCATTTTCCGCCTCCCGTAAAGGGTAGCCCTTTTCCAAATTGCTTCGGGCGCAAAAAAAAAAAAAAAAAAGTAATTTACGTTAGCGAGTCCATTCATGCTAAAAGAGCCTAGTAGGCTAACAGCACAAACACAGTCGGAAACAGAAACCAGAAAAAAGATACGTACGCCGAAGCTAAACGTAGCAAATAATGCAACAAAACAAAATGTCATGATGTCGATTTATACCAAGTATCCATCTTATATCAAATAACTTTCATTTCAGTTTTAAGCGTGTTCTGTTCCCACTTCCCACTCAGCGTGTGTTATGAGATGATCGTAAATAAAGCGCAAGGTCAGAATTTACGCGTTGCAGGAGTGGACCTCAGTACTGACTGTTTTGCACATGGCCAATTCTATGTTGCTTTTTCCCGCGTAAGTAGCTCCCGTAAAATTTTTCTGTACGCCCCGGCTGTCCACTTCTAATGTCGGTAACACAGTAGTTCTATTACAAACGACTCAGAATTTTGAGCATAACGATTTATTTTGTTACCACTTATTCATATAGTAATTATATAAATTGTTTAATTTTCTCTTACATAAACCTCAAATACTTTAAGTAAAACCTATATACGCGAGCTACGCCGCGGGCACAGCTAGTATATAATAAATATTAGTTATTTTTATATTAATTACATTAGAATCGGATAAACCAAACTACGGACATTTACGGAGAAAAATTTAAAGTCTTAATAATATGCAAAACATTAGAGAGCAAAGCACTGAGGCAATTTTTGTGTATTTACACATTCAAGATACAGATAACTTGATGATTAAAACGCAATTTCTCAATTACTACGAGTATGACACAAATTTTTACGTGGTAGGACTATGCAGCAGATATTTACGAATTTTTACGTGGTAGGACTATGCAGCAGATATTTACGAATTTTTACGTGGTAGGACTATGCAGCAGATATTTACGAATTTTTACGTGGTAGGACTATGCAGCAGATATTTATGGTATGATGTAATGCTTTCTTATATTTACGTGAACACCACACATTTGAATAAAACTAGTTTTTACGGATTTTATCGCATGTATTAACATATTTTGTAATCCAGACGTTTCGAGCACTTTACAGCATCCATAGTCACGGGGGGGCTGAGGTGTTTGACATCCCAATGTCATAGTTAACCACGACTACCTCCAGATTGAAATTATTAATTTTTGTTCCGATCTACGCAATATGAACTTATAAGTAATATACGCAATAAGATACTCTTAAAGTCTTGCAGTTGTATACTTGGGTTAGGATTTAATTTTATTAATTATAGGGTCATCCTTGGAAGGAAGCGGTGTTCTTTAGCGATGATTTGTGGTTTTTCAAATCTAATGTAGTGACGGGGGCGATCCTGTACGTGTTCACAGTCTGCAGACTCCCTGAAGCGTCTATTCTTCCTATCAGATATGTGTTCTTTAACACGGGTTTTTATTGATCTTTAAGTTTGTCCTATATAAGAGAGACAACACTCACAATCAAGCTTGTACACTCCTGCATCTTGCAGAGGCACATTACACTTGACTGATGGTAAAAACTGACTGGTATTATCAGGATTCAGAATTACTAACACGTCTAGAAAAGCTAAAGAATTGTTTGCCTCTAACTCCATTGTAAACTGAATTTTAGAATTTATGGAGTTAAGATGGTCTAAAAATGCAGTTACTTTATCTAAAGGTAGAATTGTGATAGCGTCGTCTACGTACCGCTTGAAGAATCTTGGGTTTATGGGAGAAGTAAGCAGGGCTTTCTCCTCAAACTCTTCCATGAATATATCGGCGACAATGGGAGATACAGGTGAGACCATCACCACACTATTTATTTACTTGCAGAACTTTTCCTTCCACAATTGGTAGCCAGATGTAAAGCAGTGTCTGAGTAATACTACATATTCTACAGGCATGTTGTTTTCTTCTAGCCTTGTAGTTATATTTGAGATGCATTCTTCAACAGGTATGCATATGAACAGTGACTGGACATCAAAACTGACCATAGTTTCATCGTCTGCCAGATGTAGGTCTTTATTCTCGCTGACAAAATGATAGGAATCTTTTGTGTGTGCTCTTGTATGTCCCCTGAGCGGCGAGAGTATTTTCGCTAAGTGTTGAGCCAATCTGTAAGTTGGTGAATCGATTTGGCTCACTATAGGACGGAGCATTGGGCTTGTGTATTTTTGGTAACCCATACAACTTCGGTGGTTTGGCACACGTAGGTGATTAACTATGAAATGGGGACGTCAAAAACCTCAGTCCCCCGAAACGACGGGAATATAAAATAAGTTAATATACGCGATAAAATCCGTAAAAACTAATTTTATTTAAATTAAAGTTGCTGTGTTTTGTATGATGAGTGTAGAGAACCGGAGACCCGTTTTACTGGATACTAGGCATTCCATCTTAGCCCTCAGGGGTGACATCGCATCTGCTTTTTGATTCTTTACAAAAGAAAAAATTGGTAAAGGGTCTAAAGGTAGAAATAAGTTTACAAAAAACAATAAGAAATAAGTTTAAAAAAAGTTTACCTCACTCCCAATTAATAACATCTGGTGAGCGTAAAATTATTAGCCCCCATGGGACCGATACACTTACCGACCGATATAATTATGCCTACAGCTACTAATGTCTGCAGCACAGACTCGGTTGTGCAAGCTTCTAGGCAATGAAAACGATTTTGTAACTCGAGCTGAAAGTTTTCGGGACTTTGGATTAGAGCACAAAGGGGACAAAGCGTTGACTTCATTAGACGACGATCACTGAGAAATCACTGAACATCTCATTTTTTTTCGAACTTTCGGGGCTCGACCAGCTCCTCTTTCTGTGGGGCCGATTCTGGAAGAAAGAGATTATTATAAAGAGTCTACTTTTTCTCCACTGGCCGACTTCATAGTGGCTATTTCTCCATGAAGTCGGCTGCTGGCCTTGAGTCCCGTTGCCCAATATAGGTAAAGTATCTAGATAGGGACCTTCAGGTCCCGTTCTCTATTGTATCTAGTTTTGCGTTAAAGTCTACCATTAACAGCGTATAGTGAGTTACGATAAAATAGCATGATATTTTAGAGATACACAACTTAAAATAATATAATCTGCCAAAATACTTTCACATGTGCAATAAATATATTATATAAAACCACAAGCAACAGTGTTATGAATAAAAATGATTTGCAACTCCATTTATTTTCTCCTATTCCATGTTATAAATGTTTCAACTATTGTTCACAGTTTAAAAGAATAAAGTTATGGATAACTCGATATAGTTTTAGAAACATTTACGATAAAACATTGAAGTATAAAGATAGAAGGAAGAAATTATGACAAAACCGCTGATCTTACAATCACAATGCCTTTACGGTTCTATTTATGCTAGTTTCCTAACTAAAAACAAACCATATAATATTCATATAAAAAGGAAATGCAAAATGTCGACCCAATCAGTCACTTTACTAGCTTTGTCGATTTAATCTTAAAAACCGAGATACGAGAAAAAAATTCTTAGAATGATTTTATTTACGATTTTGCCAGTTTGTTTGCTAATTGGTTCTGCACAGGTAACGTATTGATTATACTCACTAGTAGTCTAATTTGGATCGTACTTCCATTAAATTTTTATGTTTGTATATTAAGCAAGGTGTATTTCACTTTCAACTCTCAGTATGCGTTTCCGTTGCCATTATAGTCTACTAAAGTCCACTGCTGAACATAGGCCTACTCTATAGATAGCCTCATAAGAGGGTTACTTGCAATAGTTGCCACGCTTGGCAAGCGAGCTGGCAATCGCAGTTGTTTTATTTTTAGTCGTTATGAGGAAGACGCTGCAGCCTATCTCCTGGTTTATTTCCCTCTGTCGCCTCTTACGAACACCGAAGAGATGATATGGGGTAGTGGATATTCTTACACTGCTAAATACACACACGGGTAAGTATATTTATCTAATATACTCATACAAGCTTACAGCTGCACCTTATATATATATATATATCTATGGCGATAATCTCTACTCTGTGTGATTGTTTAACCACAGACTATTATGTATTTTACAGTATGGACGTAAATAATTAATGTTTTATTTAATTTAATGTATTTGTATCATATCATCATCATCATCATTACAACCCTTCACAAGTCTACCTGACCTGAACATAGGCCTCCCACAAGTAATGCCACAGAGCACAGTCCTAATCCACCTGCAACCATCGAGAACCTGCATATCTTACCAGGTCGTCACTCCATCTAGTGAGGGGTACACTTCGCTTACCGGTAAGACGTTGCCACTCGAGAGCATTTCTTCCCCATCGGTTGTCTGTTCTACGAGCTATATGGCCGGAATTCGAGCTATCAGCTTACTAATACGGATTGTATTTTTCTACACTCCTTCTCTATATAAACTTTAACTATCCCAAATATCACACTCCTCTGTGAACGCAATATGCTTAAAAAGGTGTACATAGTTTCCTATTAACGTATTAATATAAAGTTAAGTGCATATTTATTTTGACAATACGCTATTTTTGTTAGTTGCCAGTATTTAAGAACGCACTAAGTAATCATTGGGATTTGATTTGAAGTATACATATAAAATGAAAATTTTAATAAAAAGTAAACACCGACTTCGAAATCTAAACAGAATTAAATAACTTAATAATAGCTTAATAATTTCTACATAACAGCTTCTGCAGTTGTTACCAAGACATAATCTTTATTCTTTATATATAAAAATTACGTGTCACATTGTTTGTCCGCGATGAACTCCTAGACTATTGAACTGATTTCAATGAAATTTTGCACACTGTGTTCAGTTTGGTCCAACTTGAGAGATAGGATAATTTTATCCCGATAAGTGACCTTCAATATTTTTAAATTGCGAATGTAAGGATTTATGGGAAGGGTCGTCGAAAAGGGCAGAACAACGTCTGCCTGGCCACGTAGTGTTTTATAGAATTAAAACTGCAAATTCACAAACTATTAAGGGGATATTTAATATGTGAGTTTGCACTGTTGTAGATATCTTTATTCCTTTTAAATCAAATATTCTCATTCCGGATTTCTATTTTTTATACAAATAAGAGTGACAAATCAGCACACAATTCGCTTAATAGTTAGGTGGATGCTGTAGCCCATAGCCACTTAAAGCTATTATCCTTTTATGTGTCTTCCTACGTTCAGGGTAAAATAAAATAGAATTAATTCACAATCATTTCTAAAATATTATTGCTTTATGAGCTATAAGTCAGCATGAGGATAAGGAACTATTGCCGATGAACACTGGCGAATGCCTTAAAAAATCACCTTTTTGTTGTCGTTGTTTTGTTGTCAACTAAGATGAAGGGCCTAACAAAAGTCTGTATTTTTCATTAATTTTTAATGCCCCAAGCGTCTTATATCTATACGTATATCTTAAAACTTGAAAACGAGAATGTAGAACCAGTGCGTGTTGCCATTAATGACGCAAAGTACTTAGATGTGGTTATTCACTGTTGGTCATGTGTAAAGGTCACCAGTGAGCTATGGAGAGGGCTATGTTCGGAGGTTTTCTGCATGATATAATAGTCGTAGGAAGTCTATGTAATGAGAATATCCCCAGTAGAACCAGAACAACGTACATAGTACAACGGATCAGTAACCTGAAGTGGCAACGGGCCAGTCATATGAAGAACTGAGCACTGATGGGGAAGAAAGCTTCTCGATTGGCAAATAGACTGGCGACCTTGTGAAAGATGCAGGAAGTCGATGTATGCAGTTGGCTCGAAACCAGACATTGTGTCATTCATTGGGACCTATGTTCAGTAGTGGACTTGTATTGGGCTGTAATGAATATAATGATGTTAATTACTTTTCAATCTAACTCCAAGTCTGGTTGCAAAACGTGGCCATGTCACATCGTGGAGAGACGGATTGCTTTGGAGAAGTCGTTGCTGCCGACCTTCAAGAGGAGCATCCTCGAATGCGTTGAAGAGTCCGCCGTCAGCCCCAACTTAGTGCTGCAAATTACAGCTGGCAACTGGAACGTTGTATGTATATACATATGATTCACATCCATTATATTTTTATACAACAATGGTGACAAAAGAGTACACTGTCTGCTTAGACACCTATATCAATTCTCGATTAAGATTCGCCCCTGAGGACTAAAATGGAGTGCCTCGTTACCAGTATATAGGGGGTAGATACCTGGTTCTCATCACAAAGTACAAAGTTGTGCAAAGCTGCAGCTATATTAGTAGTATAGTTGTAGCACGAATGGGTCGGCTCGACCGGGGAAGGACCATGCTCTCACAGAATACCAGCGTAAAATAGCAGCTTAACACTGCTGTGTTTCGAGTGGAGAACCGACCCGACACTTTTTACTGTAAAAGAGGCATTCCATCTTAGTCCTCACGGGTGACAACGCATCTGAATTTTAATTCTTTATTGAGAATAGATGTGGATGTCTGTGGGTCACAGCAACCACTTACCATCAGGTGAACTGTATGCTCGTTTGTCACCCTTATCCTATAAAATAATCTATTTATGGGTATCTAATATGTTTATATCTGTATATATAACTAGCGGTACGCCTCGGCTTCGCACGGGTGATTTCTGTGCCTTTATAACAGTGCCATCTATCGGGTTCCAGTGTGAAATAAACCCTTCTCGAATCAACAGAATCACACACACATAAAATTCTGCAGTACACCTGATGGTTAGTGGATACTAAAGCCTATGGGTATTGCAACCAATTTTATGTAAAGAACGCTACAGGTGCGTTGTCGTATCTGAGTACTAAGATGGAGTGTATCGCAGCCTGTTATAATACTGGCTGTCTATAGATTTCCCTTCAGGTCGGAACACATTGCTTGCTAGCAAAAATAGCTTGGAGGCTAAAATAGGTGGGTGCTACATAGACACAGAAGAGGCTCCTAGGCAAAAAGGACTTCTACCATACTTTATTAATTTATAAAAAAAACTATTTATGGGTATCTAATATGTTTATATCTGTATATGTAACTAGCGGTACGCCTCGGCTTCGCACGGGTGATTTCTGTGTCTTTATAACAGTGCCATCTATCGGGTTCCAGTGTGAAATAAACCCTTCTCGAATCAACAGAATCACACACATAAAATTCTGCAGTACACCTGATGGTTGTAAAAAAAATTAGCAAGTAGTAAAATCACGATTTTTTCATTGAAATTTAAAAAATATTACTATGGCCGAAATTAACTTATTCCAGAGGGAAGAATATAAATTAAAAGCGTGGGCGCTCTGCCTGCTTCTTAAATCTAACATGATCTCCAAGGAAGGTGTGTTTCATTTGGACGTCGCACTGGCCGGAGTTCCAGATATTGGTAATATTTTCTTTCAAACCAAAATTTCTGTTGTACATAGTACCATAAAGTATTATTAATAGGCAGGTATATATTTAAAAAAATATATATATCTGCCTATTAATACTTATACCTATATTATATTTGTACCTGTCTTCCCTACCTACATTTATTCTAATATAAATAGATACCTAAAACCTATAAAAATTCCGCTCACGAATAAAACTGCTCGGGGCAAGCGGAGCAATAAGACCAGGGCGACCCCTGTCACACTATCCGTGAATGTTTGCAATATCAGGGCACTTCATTCCAACCTTAACGCTGTCCATTACCATAGAGACGGCGAAGCCAGCCTTGCTCTTTTTAACCGAGACTCAGGAGTCCTCTCCGGCTGATACTTCATATCTCTCCTACCCGGGGTACAAATTAGAACACTCCTTTGTGCTTCGGGTTGGGGTTTGCGTATACGTCAGAGAGGACATCTGTTTTCGACGCCTCGGCAGTCTTGAAGGCACGGACCTGTCCATCCTATGGCTGCGCGTAGACAGCGACGACCATCCCCGCGTCTACGGGTGCCTTTATAGGTCCCATAGCGGTAATGCCGACACAGACCGACTCATCGACCACGTCCAAATGGCTACAGACTCCGTGCTACAACAGGTCCCATCCGCAGAGATCGTGATGCTCGGTAATTTTAACGCCCACCACGCTGAATGGCTTGGTTCCCGTTTAACCGATCATGCGGGTAGATCTGTCTATGACTTTGCCTTGGCATATGGTCTAACACAACTAGTTACTTCGCCTACGCGGATCCCAGATGTGGAGGACAATGTACCTTCCCTGTTGGACCTTCTGCTGACCTCTCATCCGGACGGATATCAGGTCTCCGTCGATGCCCCTCTGGGCTCTTCGGAACATTGTCTGATCCGGAGTACGGTGCCACTTACACTCCCATCGCAGTTGCGATCTGCAGCTTGCCGCCGTGTTTGGCACTATAGGTCTTTTTTTGCATTCTACCCTTGGGCGCGGGTTTGCTTCTCGCCGAAATATCCCAGCGTTTTTGCCGATTCTGTTGCTGATGTCGTACTTCATGGTATGGAACTTTTTATTCCATCCTCTGTGGTGCCCATCGGACGCAGATCCCAGCCATGGTTTGGTCGCTCCTGTAAAATAGCATCACGCTATAAGCAGGAGTGCTACCGGGCCTGGGCTGACGCATCAACGTCTCGAGATGTAAACACCAGCGCACTTAAAAAGAAGCAAAATTCCGCCTCCAGGTCCTTCAAAAGCGTCATTGCCAAGGCAAGATTTGAGCACATCGGCAGAATTGGCGAGAAGCTAGTTCACCTTCCTTCGGGAACCCGTGCATTCTGGTCTCTCGCCAAGGCTGTCCAAGGGAACTTCTGTCAGCCATCTCTTCCATCTCTGCACAAAGAGGACGACTCACAGGAGAAAGCCGATTTTTTAAGCTCTCTCTTTGCGTCCAACTCGACTATAGATGACGGGGGAAATACACCGCCGACCATCCCGCGGTGTGAGTGCTTCATGCCGGATGTGCGATTTACACAGCGCTCGGTTCGTAAAGCACTCTTCTCCCTGGACGTCAGCAAGTCGAGTGGGCCTGATGGAGTCCTTCCCATTGTGCTGAAGACTTGTGCTCCGGAGTTGGCACTGGTTTTAACGCGTCTTTACCGGTACTCCTACTCCCAACGCGTAGTCCCGAATTCATGGAAGACAGCTTTGGTCCACCCGATCCCTAAAAATGGCGACCGCTCAGACCCGTCCAACTACAGGCCTATCGCCATAACCTCCTTGTTCTCCAAAATAATGGAACCCATTATAAACTGCCAGCTCACGAGGTACCTTGAGGATCACCAGCTGATTAGTGACCGCCAGTACGGTTTTCGTCGGGGTTGATCAGCTGGTCATCTTCTGGTGGTCTACCTGACTCTAGATGGGCGGAGGCAGTAGAGTCCAAGGGGGAGGCATTGGCCGTTAGTTTGGACATATCGAAGGCCTTCGATCGGGTTTGGCACAAAGCGCTTCTTTCGAAGCTCCCTTCCTGTGGGCCTCCCGAGAAATTGTGCAAATGGATCACCAGTTTCCTTGCTGATCGGAGCATCAAGGTCGTAGTAGACGGTGCATGCTCTGATTTTAAGCCTATCAACGCTGGTGTTCCACAAGGCTGCGTGCTATCACTAACGCTGTTTCTCTTGCATATCAATGATATGTTGCAAACTAGTAACATTCATTGCTACGCAGACGACAGCACTGGTGATGCCTTATATACCGGCACTGCCAATATTTCTCGGGAAAACGTCGCCGAGTACCGGGACAAACTTGTGTCTGAAGTCGAGTCTTTGCTGAACAAAGTCTCGGATTGGGGGCGACTAAATCTAGTCCAGTTCCATCCACAGAAGACACAAGTTTGCGCGTTTACCCCTAAAAAGAACCCCTTTGTCGTATCTCCTCAGTTTCAAGGCACTCCCCTTGCTGCCTCAGCTAGCACCGGAATCCTCGGCGTCGACATATCGAATAGTGTGCAGTTTCGTGGTCACTTGGAAGGGAAATCCAAACTGGCCTCTAAAAACCTTGGCGTGCTCAGCAGAGCGAGATAGTATTTCATGCCGGCACATCGCTTGCAACTTTACAAAGCGCAAATCCGGCCTCACATGGAATACTGTTCTCATCTCTGGGCTGGGGTACCCCAGTGCCAGCTCCTTCCACTTGACCGCATCCAGCGCAGAGCGGTTCGGACCGTCGACTACCGAGTTCTTTCTGATCGGCTCGATACACTGGCACTGCGTAGAGATGTTGCATCTCTTTGCGTATTTTATCGCATCTATCACGGGGAGTGCTCTGAGGAATTGTTCGGACTAATTCAAAATTTGCGATACCATCCATACCACCTGGATGATTGGCGATCCACCACTGTGCGATTTAGAAGATGTTTTCTTCCTCAATAAAAAATAAGTTAATAAGTAAGTAGAAATACACGCAATATTTACAATAATAAGGATACCCCACATGGTTACAAGATTGCAATTGCTCATAAAATAAGTTAAATGTACCTAGAACTTCACCCGTTCATAAATTCCGGATGGAATTCGAATCTCATCTGGAGCCCAAAATTTGTTCAAAAACACAATTGTTTTTCGATTGGAAATTAATACAATGTCATTATTCTAAAGTTTTGTGTGCCTACATAAATTATACAAATCTTGCAAAGTCAATTTTGATATAAAATTTATATTAGTGTCCGACCGAAAGTCGATTTCAGACCGAAGTCGATGCCGAAGCCGAAGCCGAAGTCGATAAACAAAGAGATTTAAATACCTATATAGGTACTTAAATGTTTTTGTCGATAAATGACTAGGTATCACCACAAACTAAAACCTTAAGAAAGTAATTTCAAAATTGGCAGAAATTAATAGATACTTAATATAAACGATTTTAAAACTTTTAAATTAAAAGGTTTTTATTGACTGTATAATATAAAAGATAATTTCTTTCATCTATAGAAGTGGATCTAGAGACGATAAAAATTGAGTCACCACGTCCATCGCGTTCTCCCTTATTTGTAACGCCTTCTACATTCGGCTTAGGTTAGAACTTCAACCATTTGGCCGATGCCCAAGGTTTCGCCGAAGATGGATTTTGGCTGAAAGTGGCCGAAGAAGAAACCGAAGCCGAAGCTTCGGCTTGACACTAATAAATATGTAATGCTACTTACAAACTTACCATTAGTATTTTATTTTACGTTTCAGATAAAAACACCGTCGAAAAAAAAATCGACGAATGTCTGTATTCAAAGGAGCGTAAACCTGAAGATATAGCTTGGCATTTTCTCAAATGTTATCATCAGGGCAAACCAAGATATTCCTACATGTAAGAAAAAATAAGTTAATGTTGTATTTTTAAAGGAGCGCCATCTGTTGTACAAAATAAACAAATAAAATTATAATTTTGTTTCATGCCATCTAGTGGTACAATGTAACAACAGGTGCAACATAAAACTCAATGTTAAGAAGCCGTCTTACTATTATACCGTTAGATAGCACTTATATATTTTTACTTTAACGCGTCTTAAAATTTAAACTTTAATGCTTCAAAAACAAACTCACATTATTTATCTGACAAATAAAAAATATATTTATAGTTACGTAAATAAACAAATATTTATTTATTTGTAGCTTTTTTGCACACGAATAAAAAGAACGTAAAAATCAATAAAAACGTTGTGTATTGTGAGGGCATCCATTTTTTCCTGAAACATTTGGTAGATTTCATAGCGGGGAATTTAATTTGTTAGGAAAATGTAAGGGTGTATGTTTCCTTCTGTAATATTGGTTATATTTTATATTAATTACTTTAAAAGTACATGAGCCAATCTACGGATACTCCTAAAACTAGAAAAAAGAAGTAAAAAATCTGCAAAAAAGTAAAGAGCATTGTTTTATGTATTTATATGATACTCTAAAACTGATAAACTTTTATTATAAAAATAATTTCTCAATGAAATTACATTGCGTAACAAAAAACTTTACCTCAGTCCCAGCTAGCGACATCTGGTGAGCGGAAAATTATTATCCTTCATTTGTCAGCCCATTTCCTTCCTATGTTTTAAAATTCGTATACGGAAAACCAACCTTGCAAACCAGATCATAATGTAATCAACTAGTAGAAGAATATTTAAAACGTTGACACGGCCACAGACGTTGAGCGTTATCTCGCTACCGCGTCTAGGACAAGAAATTAATTAAAAAAAAATTGTCAGTCGTGGGACTGCACGTCAGAAGTTACAATCAAGTATTACAATCCCACAACTGACTTTTTATGAGCACCATAAGCATGAAAACTCTGCTACTTTTTCATTGCACACTGTTAATGAAGACTTAGTCCTCAAGACCATAAAGAACCTGAGATCAAATGCACAAGGGAACGATGGTTTGTCTTTTTTTCTTTTTTGTTCGTATTCATTGGTTCAGTCGGGACCTGGAACAATTTTTTTGCTTTTCATATATATGTTTGTTGGAGTAGCCACTAATTTAGTTTTTAGTAGTTATTTAATAGTCTATAATGTAATGTAATGTACTTTAAGGGAATATTGTTGTTTGTTTATTTGTTGTTTATTTCAAAATTCCGGATAATTAAGATCACTATTATAAATATTTTTTTACCTTGTATTATCTCTTTTGTTTTTTTAGCATTGTTTTTTGACAACCATGATGACAACCATTAAAGCGTCTCCGAATTGTGCACCCTTTCGAGAGACACACAAGTCACATAAACACATTCAAATAATAATTACTGAATTTTAAGTTAGTGTCTTCTGGAAAGGATGCGCAATGCCAGCAATAGGTGTCCGCGGAAGACCAGCGTCTTGACATGCTCCTTGCGAGCATGTCATGACAAATGCTGAGCGTAAGCCTGTTTTGGCACATTATTAATGTATATACTTATATAATTTACTGTTAACCATTTGTAAATGTGCATGCACTGCTGTGTCAGAATAGAATAGAATAGAATAGAATGTTTTTTATTCAATATGGATTATTACATAATACTTATTGAAAGTCATTATTTTATTTACCACTGGTTCGGAAAATACCTCTGTCCTGGGAAGAACCAGCAAGAAACCCAGCGGGACTTTTTTTTAAACATAATTTCACTAAACAATAATTTTGTTTATACAATTTTAAATGAATTTTCATAGAACCAGCATGGTGGCGATCACCTTATTCCCAGGGGTTATTTTCATTCATGTATTCCTTGATATTATAATAACCCTTTTTGTACAGTTTTTCTTTAATAAAACTTTTAAACTTGTTTATTGACAAACTTTGAACATGTTCTGGGATTCTGTTGTAAAAGCGTATACATTGCCCCATAAATGAATTACTAATTCTGTGGAGTCTAGTAAGTGGCATTACAAGCTTATGTTTGTTCCTAGTGTTTAAAGTATGAACATCCTTATTCTTATTAAAGCTATTTATGTTTTTATGTACATACATTACATTTTCATAAATATATTGCGATGCCAAAAATTAATATGTTTACTTATTTCTTTAAATTTTTCTCTGAGGGACTGTCAATAAAGTTTATTTTCTTTCTTTCTTTCTTTCTTTCTTAGAAGTGAAAACTTTAAGCTTCACAAACTTGTAAACATTATTTTTGTATTAATGTGTAAACATTATTTTTGTATAAAGGTATCAGCGCGTGACGGTCGCGCGAGGTCAGTGCTTGTCCGCATCCCAAAAGTGCCCAACGTGTTTTCATTCAGTTTTTTCTTGAAAAATCTTTATACATCTTACGTATCTATACGAACACACATCAATAGGTTCAAAACTCAGACTTTATAGAGTAAGGATGACAAACAGGGATTGAAAACGGGTACCAATTTCGGTTCTGGTTCTTCATTTAGGTACTAGTTCCGGTATCGGTTCCGGTTTGGATTCCGATGTACCGTTTCTAAATACCGGTTCCGCGAACCTTTAATCAAATTTCTCAAAATCCGTAGATTGGTATAAAAAATTCCGTAGAATTCCGTAGATGCTATTTCATAATATCCGTTCCGTTGAGGACGGACAATTTTTATTTTTGTCATAGAATAGATAAATTTGTTGGGAAAAATTCTTTCTGTCATGGAAAATTGTTGTTGTAAGTTTAATTGTAATATAACATCGAATCAAGCCACACATGTAAGAAAAAGTACCATAAAAATTGATTAAAAATTAACTGTTTTCATTTTAATTAAATAATTTTTATTAAAAAACAAATAAAATAACTAAACACACATTTAGTATTTTTGGATAGTTATACTAAAAAACTGCGTTACAAAGTATAAACTTGATTATAACAACTTATTATCATTTTAGATTTAGATTTTATTTTCTGGTTTTTGTTAATTTATTTGATATGTATTACGGTTTTTCAGACTCGGGTGACAATAAAAACAATGAAAAACTACACAACTAACAACTTTGAGAAATTTGAAAAAAAAAAAAGATCGAGCTAAAGCGAAGTTTTATTCGGCAGAATTTTTTAATAATTGTAAAAACAATTGGGATAGCATGGATTAGAAGAATTTGAGACATAAATGATAATTCAATCATCTATAAAAAATTATAAGCACTTATATAATTAAATGCAAAATATCTTTATTTTTTTAATAGCTTTATTAACATTTGAAATCGATTAACCTCACAAAAATTTGATATTTATGAGCGAAAATGGTTTTATTTTAATACAGATAGCATAGAATTAATTATTAAATATAATTTAATACAGACAACATAGAAGAGAGAGAGAGAGAGAGAGAGAGAGAGAGGGAAAGAGAGAGAGACGGAGGGAAAGAGAGAGAGAGAGAGAGAGAGAGAGTTCACACTCATGATAAAAAACATTCATTGACGTTTATAAAAATTCCGTAGATTTTTTTTTCTTTAAAAACCGTTACCCCCACACTAGGATTTTCTCCTTTATCGTGGAGGCAGTATACAAACATAAATTGCACAAGGACAAACATCCAAACCCGAAACAATTATTTGTAGTGCATACAAATACTTATTCCGTGCGGGATTCGAACTCGCGGCCCCCAGCGCAACAACTCATTGCTAAGCCACTGCGCCACGGAGCAGTCTACATTACTAATATTCCCTAGACAGGCATGCAGGTACTGACATTTTAGACAGATTGCAACCTCAAATTCCGTAGTCCCGTAGATGATGACAAAATTGCGTAGATCTACGGAAAAATCCGTAGAGTTGGCAACGCTGCGTTGATATGCAACAGAAGATCCACCAATACAAAGGTGATATTTTACAAACACCCCTCTCCTCACACTCCGCCACGCGCCGCATCGCGCCGTCCACCCGACCGCACCTCAAACAAGTTTGGACTGGTTTTCGCTTTGCTTAGGAACCGGTAAGTTAAAGGTTCTTAAAGGTTACAATTTAGGTTTTGGTTCGTGTTCCGGTATAGGTACCGAAACCCCAAAATACCTACAAACGAGATCTACAGAACGACAAACGACCACACAGTTCACTGCTTGATGGTATGGATGCTGTGACATCTACATCTATCTTCGATTAAGGATAAAAAGGTGATTTTGTTTAATTATAAGACTTGCCATACCTGGTATTTCCGACGCAGACCTATATGATTGCCGTTACGATATACAATATAGCAATGATCGTGACTAAGAATGAAGAAATATGACTAAAGGAGGTATAGAGGATATATTATGTAGAAATTGTAAATCTATTCTATATTAAGAATTAAAATGCAGATGCGCTTACAACCCTGAGAGCTAAGATGTTGTCTCGTTTCCAGTAAAAAGGGTCTCAGGTTCTTTTCACTCACCACAAGAAAAGTAGCAGCCTTAATTAGTTGTTTCACGCTGGTATTCTGTGAGAGCGTGGTCCTTCCCCTCTCTAGCCGACCTTTTATATAGAATATAGATTACAAACGAGCACACTGTCCACATGATGGTAATTGGCTCCAGCGGCCCACAGACATCTATTTATCCTCGATTAAAAATCAAAATGCAGATGCGTTTTCAACCTTGAGAACTAAGATGGTATGCTTCGTATCTAGTAAAAAGCAGCTTAGGTTCTCCTCACTCACCATACAAAACGCAGGAGCCTTAAGCAGTTGTTTCACGCTGGTATTCTGTCAGAGCGTGGTCCTTCCTCTGTCGAGCCGACTTATTCGTGCTACAGCAATTTGGCTCTACCACTGTACAGAACAGGGGGCTAGGCGAGAAAGAGTGTAAGATTTTTCAGTCACGACCGCCTTTCTATAGTGCGAGCGAGAGATGGAATAATTTCCATCTCCCTCGCACTTTTTCGTATCTTGCCATGAAAGAAATATTATTTGAAACGACGCTTCATT